GCCTTTGCTATTATAGGCATTACTTTTGGAATTTCTGAAATTTTGAATAAGGTCTGGGTATTTTAGTTATAAGGATTAAATTTCAGGGCCTCAGGTGAAAAATCCTTTTACCAGAGTCAAAACTTCTTACACTTTATAGAGACAACTTGGGAACATGAGTTTAAAATTTTACCGAAGAGTTAATTACCAAAAAGATTACATTGTGTCACTAAGTTTTATAGGCATTCAGAAAATAAATGATTAATACAATGGCCTATTTTCAATAGCTTTTCATGGAAAACATGGGAACTGAGCTTGGTCATGAGACTGGGTGTGTGGAAGCAGAGAAAGAGAAGGGGAGACATTGTAAAAAGAAAAAGCAGGCTGGGCGCAGTGGCGTACGCCTGTAATCCCAGCACTTTGGGAAGCCAAGGTGGGCAGATCATGAGGTCAAGAGATCGAGACCATCCTTGCCAACATAGTGAAACCCTGTCTCTACTAAGAATACAAAAATTGGCTGGGCATGGTGGTGCGCACCTGTAGTCCCAGCTAATCAGGAGGCTGAAGCAGGAGAATCGCTTAAACCTGGGAAGTAGAAGTTGCAGTGTGCCGACATTACACCACTGCATTCCAGCCTGGAGACAGAGCAAGACTCCATGTCAGAAAAAGTAAAAGCAGAATGCTTAAATCAGTATTTAAATTACAAGCTAGAAACTGGAGGAACTTCACTTGGATGTTTTTTGAGAGTCAACTGGTAAATAAAAATATCTGTAAAGGGTAATTCATATAGTAATTGTTCTATCGAGATAAAGAGATCTGACTTATTTTCTGTGCTCATAAAACAACCACTTAATGGGGGGCAATTTATAGTACTTATCCTTTCATCAGTAAAAAGTACCAGGTTACCAGACCATATTTGAATCTTAGTTCTTTAATAATAATACTACTGACATTTATATATTTAATAATATGTACATAGATATATTTTATAATAATATTGACATATAAAATACTACTACTGAGATACATATATCTCAGTATTATTCTTATATATGTATTTAAGTAGTAGCATTTAATATATATATATCTCAGTATTATATATATTGAGTATATATAATATATATCTCAATAGTAGTATTTTTTATATATATATCAGTGGTATTATTATATACTACTATTATATTAATAGTATTATTATATGTCAAATATATATTTTTATATATCAGTACTATTATTAAATGTAATAAATTTATATAAATATATATTCTATACATTTAATAATATTAAATATATATTGAATAACAATAAGATAAATATATATTTATGTCAGTTATATAAATCTAAGTATGATACAATTTATATCCTTAAAATGTTTAAAGATTTATATCCTTTAAGTGTATTAAGATAGCTGTCATAAAATCTGTTTCTAATTTGCAATTTTACTAGTTATTTTTTTCTGAGAAAAATACATCATGACTATATAGTCTCATAAAATAAGTCAAAATAACAGAATATAGGAAAAATGTTAATAATATATTTAAAACTCCAACCACAGGTCTTGAAATATAGCAAATACTTGGGATTTCCTGAAGATTAATTTGAAATCAATTATCAATAAATGTTTGATGAATTGAATTGTTTAAAATTTCTATCATATAATTAAGTCCTAATTATTGTTTATATTACCTTATTCCTGGTGGTATATACACCTTCCAAATTTTCACTTTAACTGTACTGGAAATACATCCAGTTTAACAATTATTGGATGCCTATTACCTACCTACCATAGTAGGGAACAAAATAGATTCAGTCTGTGACTTCACAGAGTTTCATGTAGTGGAAAGAGTGTAAAGTTGATTTACCAACTTTTTCAGGTGCCAAAGCAGAAGAACCATGAGTAAAATAACTTGATAGGTATATACTGAAGCCTACATGTTTATATGAGTGTACTTGTCTTAGTCCACATGGCAGACAATATACCATATTCCCGTTAGAGTGCTGGGAGATACTCTCCCCATCATTACTCCAAAGGTCATACAAATTAGTACATGTATTCTACTCATTAGCTAAAATCAGATAATTCTAACATGCATTGCTCTCAATGGTTAAATATTTGCTTGAATTTTAAAACAAACTAAGTAAAGCCTACAATTTAGTAATGACTCTGTATGGTTTCATTAAAACTTACATTTTGACAGTTTCTCAGAAAACCAACACTTCATAATTAATGAATGTTCAGCCAAAGGTTGACCTTCTGAGTTAACTGGAGAAGTGCAAACTTAGGAGGAAAAAAAATGGCTTTTGACTGTTTATTAAAGCCTAAGAGCTCTTATCTTTTAGAATGAAAGTTCTGGAAGCATGCCTAAGAAATTGGCTCTATAGGTTAACATTTGAAAGTCTGTTTTACATAAACATTCATGCTGTCTACTTTATGCTATATTTAAAATAAGAGAAATTGTAAAAAGCTTAATCTACCTTGATTGCTAGGGGCCTCCTTCAAAGGTTCCTGAGATTGAACTCCCAGGCATGTGAAGCCTAAAGATACCAAGCACTTGTTATAAATGGCTCCCGCATTCATTTTCAGTCTAAATCTATGGAACCTCTACTGACAGATGGCTTCTTCCTATCTGGGATTGAATTAGTTACTTTATTTACTTAAAGGTTAGTGTTAGTACAATCAAGGTCAGAGGAGTGGACTGGTAAAAACAAGATTTGATGTCAAACAGACCTGCATTTGAATTTCACTTCTGCTCCCCAGACACTCAGTTTCTTCATCTTTAAAATAGAGAGTAGCACCTCTTTCTGTGTTTCGGCATGAAACAGAGTAGACTGAATACCACTGATACACTTGTTTCTGGGCCTGATACATAATATTCCCTCAATAAAAGCTCATTGTGGTTTTAATTTTTATATTATAAAAACAACTCACCGTACACAATGTGTATTCTGCTGATCATTAGTCAATAATATTCAAGTATGAACAAGAAACTATTGTTGTGAGAATGTATAAAATCCTATACACCTGCTTATATTTGGACCCATCAGAAATTTCGGATTTTCCAATAAAAATTCCTTATTTTATATGACAACTATTAGCATCTCTAATGCTATCCCCCCGAGTGAATAAATTATGAAATAAGCATGTAAAATAATAGTTTTGGCTCATATTTGCTCAATAAATTGTGTTTAATGGATAAATAGATGACTAAAAATTAACTATTTCAAACCATGAAGCACTCAGAAACAAAGCTTGAGGCAAGAGACTAAAGATTTAGTTTCCTATTGACACTGACTTGCTCTATGACCTTTAAAAATTTCTTAATTCCTGGTTCTCCATTTTTTTATCTTTAAAATGTTAGGGTTTGATATGTAATGTCCATAGTCCTTCCCTAGTTCTGTAGGTCTATGATTCACACAATTGAGGAAATATAACTTAAGAGGCAATTTGTTCATAGAAACAGAAGAGGTGACAGGACATAAGTCCCTTGAGCTCTTAAATTCCATCTTTCTGTTTTCTCTTCTAAAAGCCTTTTGAAAAATTTTCAAAATGTGTATTATTTAACCAACTGAAGAATAGACAGTACATTAGCAAAGTCCACAATGAAAATGAACACATTTGAAGGAAATTATTTCAATCTGTTGAACAGAAAAGAGAGAGTAGGAGATAGGTTTTTAGGAGAGGAAATTTGAAATATCAGCAAGTTTGTTGTGAAGGGTAGCAAAATATGCTCCCCCAAAATATGCTACTTTGGCATATTGATTATTTTGAACTACAGAAAATTGAAAAGAAACAGATATAGGAACTCTTTGCTCTCCTTCTATTTGCCTAAAAGAGGGACATAAATTTATGAAGGATTCCTTCCTGTCTTCTCTACCAGAAAGGACAGAAGTTAATCACAAGAGATAACTCTAAACACTTATCAGCCCAGAGAAGTCACCAGAGGAATCTATATAACAAACTTTGCTAAAACTAACTTCTATTTTCCGTTAGTTTCCTCCATATACTTACCTTCCCCCAATTTGTTGCCAGTAGAAGTTCAAAGTTATTTTTCTTTGTCTTATTACTGCTCTACAAAGTTATTGTAAATTTTTGCTAAGATTATAGGAGAGCCCAAGTTCTAACTGCTACTTTGAGTTACTCATCACTAAGCAGTCCCATTTATGTGCAATACACATGTTAATAAACTCCCGTTTGTTTTTCTCTTATTTATCTGCCTTTTTATCAGTCTAATTTATATGGCCTAAGCCAATAAACCTAAAATGGGTAGAAAAAATATTTTTTTGTCCCCTACAAATACCAATCTATGGCTTTCCATGATGACAATTGGCCAACAGTTCCTGGTAGAGTTTTTCATTTGTTCATTCACTTCTTTAACAAATATTTATTGTATGATTACTATTTGCATGACCACATGCTAGAGTGAGATTATAAAGATGAATCCGACATATACTTTGTCCTTAAAGAAATTTCTCTTTAGTAAGGATGTTAAGGCACGTATATAAATAGAAAAATGTTCTAAATTATATGAGTGAAAGTTATGTGAGATTTTTGAGGAGGTAATATTTAATTTCAGCCAGGCAGATGGCAAGGAAGGGAGGGAAATTGAGGAAATCTGGGAGGAGATGGCATTTTAGCTGGAGATTAAGCATGCATATATTAGGCAGAAGGACATTTCTGGCTGAAGAAATAATGTGAACAAAGTCTCAAAGGAGCAGGAAGCTGGATGCAGTTTGACTCTACAATTGGGTTTAGGAAAGAGACGAATGAGAAATACATTTAAAAGGAACACTGTAAGATTGAAGGAACCTTGAATGTCATACTAAGGAGATTTAGTCTTTATCTTTCATAAAAAAAACAAACAAAAATAAGACACTGGAGGTTTTGGATAAGGTGGATGGAAGAAAATTGTGTTTTAGCGTGGCAACTCCTGAAGAAGATTTGTGCATGGTGGTTGTAAACTGAATCTTAATAGGCAGATAACTCAACTGAAGTTCTTAACCGTAATCATTTTCTTGTCCAGGCTGCTGATGTGCTGTTGCAACATGGAGCTAATGTCAATATTCAAGATGCAGTTTTTTTCACTCCATTGCACATTGCAGCCTACTATGGGCATGAACAGGTAAGTCTGACAGTAGAATTTCCAAAGGTTAGGTGTTGCTTAAGTGTAGGCTTTTGTTGAATTGTCCTGTCTTCAAAGAGTTTATATTTAAAATATCTTTGAATTATTTTTGCCATATTCTCATCAGTCCATCCTTGAGGAACTTGTAGATCCATATAAGCATTACGGTTGTCATGCTATTCATTTTTGCTGATGAGCTTAGTACACAAAGAGGAAGAACAGTACATTGGTAAGTGTGTGACCACAGGAATCAGTCAGCCTAAATTTGAAAAATCCCTAGTGTTTTGACCAGGTATAGGTTATGTAATCCCTCTGATCTTCATTTATTCACCTACGAAATGGGGAAAGATATTAATAGTAACCTCATAGGGCTGCTGTTCGGATGCAATATAAATTGTTTGGCAAATGCTCAGTAAATGTAGCTGTGATGATGCTAATGGCAATAACAGTAAAACAACTCGTAAAGGCTCTATAAAAACAATTACTAATGTGCTTTATAATTTACTTTAAATATGTGATTCTATAACAGGTCCATATGTATAAAATGTTATATTCTGTAATAAAAAATAATATATATAGAAAGCTTTAAAGTTTTTAACATACTTTTGTTCAATATATGACTTTATTTAACCTTCACAACTTTATGAAATTATTGAGTTGCCACCTGATTGAGCTTATACCATGGGATAGGCACTATAATAGAACCTTTATCTTTTTTTCTAATTTTTCCACAACCCTGAAATTGGCTGTTATTTGCCCATTCCTTTTTTTTTCCTCGAAACAGAATCTCGCTGTGTCGCCCAGGCTAGAGTGCAGTGGCGCGATCTCGGCTCACTGCAAGCTCCGCATTCTGGGTTCACGCCATTCTCCTGCCTCCGCCTCCCGAGTAGCTGGGACTACAGCTGCCCGCCACCACGCCCAGCTAATTTTTTGTATTTTTAGTAGAAACGGGGTTTCACCATGTTAGCCAGGGTGGTCTCCATCTCCTGACCTCGTGATCCACCTGCCTCGGCTTCCCAAAATGCTGGGATTACAGGTGTGAGCCACCGCGCCTGGCCTATTTGCCCATTCTTATCAATGGTATGCATGAAGCTGTCAGGTGAGGTAGCATGCCAGAGCCATGCAGCTATTAATAATAAATAGAAGAGCTGGAATATGTACTCAGTTCTGTCTGATCCCAAAGCCTATATTTGTTTTGCTGTACCAAAGTACCTCTTCTTATTCTTCTTCAACCAGTGAGAAAAATTATCAAGTCCAGACAATTTTCCTAAATGGAGAAGCCAGAATTCAAGGCAACATGTTCTAACTCCAAAGTCTGCTGATTTTCAACCTTAACATATCAAAAGACAAAAATTGTATGTTTCTTTAAAACACTGTCCTTTGGCAGTGAGAATACTCAAGGAACTGAAAATAACCAGAGAGAGAGAGAGAGAGAAACAAATGTAACTGGATAACCAAATATAACTGTTCATTGAATACTCCATTTTCACTCTTCCACAATTTGTTTTTCTAGACTCCTTCAATTTTAGGATAGAATTATACCTTTTTACCTTCCTGGAGGTCATGCCACAGCACCACCTGAGGGTTCCAAGTTGAAGATGAAACTTACTTGTGTCCCTGTGCTCAATAGTCATTGTGGCTTTATTCCTCTGCTAGCTGGCATATGCCTGGACACTCTAAGACCGGTGAAGCGTGACCTATAGGTAGGAAGATTGCTTATTTCATTGATGTGCTGCTCAGAGTGCACTGGAGTGCAATGAAGAGCTGGGCACCGAAAATACTTTTAGAAGTACAGGCCCAAGGCCGGGCGCGGTGGCTCAAGCCTGTAATCCCAGCACTTTGGGAGGCCAAGACGGGCAGATCATGAGGTCAGGAGATCGAGACCATCCTGGCTAACACGGTGAAACCCCATCTCTACTAAAAAAATACAAAAAAAAACACTAGCCGGGCGAGGTGGCGGGCGCCTGTAGTCCCAGCTACTCGGGAGGCTGAGGCAGGAGAATGGCGTAAACCCGGGAGGCGGAGCTTGCAGTGAGCTGAGATCCGGCCACTGCACCCCAGCCTGGGCGACAGAGCGAGACTCCCTCTCAAAAAAAAAAAAAAAAAGAAGTACAGGACCAAAAGCACAAGTAATGGAAAAATCCCATCATTTCCTAACCTCAGGCACAGACAGGATATATACAATGCATGTTATTTGTAGAGTCATCCTCTTTGACGATTAACCTCATCACCCAGCAGAAACATAAACAGCCTGTATGCATGTTGGGTGGAGAACTAAATTTGTTTACTTTCCCTGAAAATATAGTCACAGTCTTATAAAATTATGCTAAAATGTGGATGGCCCTTTTATGATAAGGGACTCACTTTCTGTGTGTGAAGGCAGCACATAAGTAATTTATGGAGGCTATTGTCATTTGCTAAAATATGCTGACAAGGAGAATGGTACATTCAATATATAAATGTACCTAATGTGCCATGTTCCTTGTCATTTGTTTATTTACTTATTTTTTAAGTGGAAGAGTAGATGTTTTGTACCAAGAGTGATATTTCCTAGGTATGTAATAATAGTCCTTAATAGACAATCGATTTCAGAGATAGTTTAAATCTGTCTATTATAAAGTCACATAATCAGAATATATGGAGTCTGTTTAAGCGGAAATGTCTGCTTAGGCATGCAAGGTTGTTGAAACTAAACTTCTGCTGTTCTGATTTCACCTGAATTAAGTCTTGATCTGTCCATTAGCCAACAAAGAGATAAAATGCACATGCTCCAAGTTGGGGCTACCACTTTTACTAACAGTTATTGAATGCCAGGCACTTTTCTGAGTGCTTTTCATGCTCTGACTTATTTAATCCTCACAACAACTCCAAGAGGTGGAAATATTGTTATTCCAACTTTAGCAACGAAGAAACTGAAGTATCAAAATGATAAACAATTTGTTCAACGCAATATAACTGATAAATAGAAGCCTGATTTCCAAACCCTTGCTCTTGTCCATTACACTCAATAGGAACTCAGTTCCCCACATTGTACCCAGCTAATATTTTACCTAGAATTTCTATCAAATGTCTACCATATTCTTGAGAGATTTATACTCAAGACATGTTTATTTGCTGACTCATGGGAAGTAAAAATAGTTTTAGAGCTTGAATTCACTTTTGTGCTGACACTTCAGTGATCAAGACAATTGAGAGGGGTCAATTGCTATTTGAATCCTAACTGCTATTTTAAGGACTCAGGCGCATCTTAACTTAACCTCTTAGTATCACTGAGATGACTTTTGAAATTCTCAGGAGAGGCAATGTCAAGTTTACATAAATTATTTGGAAAGTTCTTAATTATATATGCAAGTGACTCAAAGGAATTCCTAAATTACCTAAAACAATCCCAGGAAGACCCCTACCTGCTTCATCACTTTATCCTTCTCTGACCCTATGGATGTAGAGTCTCAGTGAATTGGAAAAGATGTCAGGGCTACTGTTCCTGTCTCCAGTTCACTCACATATCCAGAAAAAGGCCCAAAACTCCAGTAGCAAGATGGCCAGTAATGGTATATGACTGAAGCTGCCATGAAAATCAAGAATCAAGTCAACTACCAGTGACTCTGGCCAGAAGGAGACTTTGGAAGAGATCATTCAGAGAAGATTCTGCATGACTCTAGAGAGGGTTATTTATGTACAGTGAAGACCTACATTATGAAATTGACAAGAGAGTTGATACTAAAGAGAGCAAATGACAAAAGCAGGTTTTCAAGGTCAAAAAATATGGAAAGGATTTTTTAAAAATGTTTTCAAAGTTCCCTAGCATCTCATCTAGCCCCACATTAACTCTGAAACAGAAATGGTAAACAACATTTTCTCAGTTCACCAACAAAAATAAAAAATAACATTTACAGAACAAATAGTGTATGACAGTCATTGTGCTACGCACTTTAAACAAATTCCTAATCTAATCCTCATGACAACCCATGAGTTAAGTCTTATTATTATTCCCATTGCACATATGAAAAAACTTGGGTATAAATAAATTAACTAATTTTTCTCAAGAACACACAGCTGATATAAATCAGATTCTAGATTCGAATCTAGGAATGTCTCAAACTGCACCTTAATTCTTAATCAGTATATGATATTACCCCTCAAGTTAACATAAGGTCAGTAGCAGGCACTATTTATTGGCTGCTTAGGCAAAACTATCATTTCAACTATTACCACTTTGGGCCATATATTTTTTTTCTTTCTTGCAGACTCTTTATTTTACTGTTCAACCTCTCTCCTAGAGGCTGTGCTTAGAGATGCTCCTATCCCCATCCACTGTGTGTTAGATCTTGTTTAGTTGAAGCCACTCACGGTAAATCTTTCCCCTTGTCCAGGGATTGGTTTAGAAAATTGCAAATGACCTAGTCTGGACTGAAGAGATATGGGAAGAGGGTTTCTGGAGAGTTTTTAAGAAGGAATTTCTAGATTTAAAAAAAATAGCCGCTTGTTCCAAAAGGTAGAGGTCATCTCCTGCTGTACTCTGTGGACCTCAGTTTGTAGTGACTGGAGATGCTGCAGCTCTCTTGCTACCATGGGGTGATCCATCCTACTTGCTGAGCATGGCAGAACAGAATGATGGAAAGAACTTGAGTTATTAAGCTGTTGTATTAATCAACCCTAGAATTATTCCAGTTTTGGACTTCCTGCTAGGTGATATAACAATAAATTTATTGTGGTTTACGCCAGTTGGGTTTTTGTATACTGCCAAAAGTTTTGCATTATTGTTTGAATTTTGATACTAATTTCAAATGAATAAATCCTTTAGGTAACTCGCCTTCTTTTGAAATTTGGTGCTGATGTAAATGTAAGTGGTGAAGTTGGAGATAGACCCCTCCACCTAGCATCCGCAAAAGGATTCTTGAATATTGCAAAACTCTTGATGGAAGAAGGCAGCAAAGCAGATGGTAAGATTATATGTTTAAAAGACCTTTGCTATCATTTGCTTTATGCATACTTTTTACTTGTAATTCTCTTACTAGAGAAAAATCTTGAAGTTGACTAATCCTGTAGTCATGTACTTATTTACTCCACAAGTCATAATTTATCTTTAATATATTTATTAGGCCTACATGCGAATCCTTCTTTACATGTTTTAGCTCAATTCTTAATATATTAGGTGCTCCAGTGAAAGTAAAGTGTTCTCGTAGATAAATTAGTTGTCTTTGCTGTTGTTCACTGATCTTTTATAAATTGAGATATTATTTACTTCTAGAAAATTCTCAAATCTTAAGTATATAACCTGATGAATATTTATGTATGTATACATCCATTGAAAACCACCCAGGTCAAGATTTAGAATATTTCATCACTCTGAAATTTTCCCTTATGCACTCATCTTAGGGAAATAGACTTTACCACCAAAGGTAATTAATATTCTGACTTTTATTGCTATATATAGTTTTGTCTGTTCTTGAAGTTTGTATAAATTTATGACTGGCTTCTTTTGCCCAACAAGATGATTTGGACGTACATCCATGTTGTTGTATGGATCATAGTTTGTTCTTTTATATTGTTGAAGATTACATGAATATACCATAATTGGTATATCCATTCTTCTCCTAGTAGACATTTTAATATTTCTAGTGTTCTTTTGTTATGAATACAATTGCCAGTAACATTCTTGTTCAAGTCTTTTTGTGGACACATATGTTCATCTCTCTTATATATATATATATGCACATATATATATGAGAGAATTGATAATTCGAAAGGTAATAATGCATATGTTTAATGTTTTAGGAAATTTCTAGACAGTTTTCCAAAATGTTTGTACTGTTTTAAAATCTTACAACAATATATGAGAATTTCAGTTGCTTCCCACAGCATCCCCAATATTTGATATTATATTACTACACTTTTTAATGGAGTTTGAGTGTGATCCATTTGGGGAAAAAAAGTTTTAGAATACATAGAAGGACTTCAGAATCAGCTGATGGAATAGAATTTCCTTTCATTTTTATTTTCTTAATTATAAAATAAATTTTGGAAAGTTGATTATAACTAGTGAAAAATTTCTTTTTTTCACTTTTCCTCACAAACTTTATTTTTTGACAAAAATTCACTCAGAGTTGCATCTTGCCATTAAATTCTCTCAGGCATATCCAACATTCTTCCATTGACCCCCAAGAGACCCAATTAAAAGCCCAGCTGTAAGAACTGCTGGCCTTTGCAGCAGGAACAATACACATTTCCAAAAGGACACGGTTGTCAAATCTCTAGAACTGCCAGTTCCTTGGTCCAAAATTCAGATTGATATTTAGTTAATAAAGCTAACCAATGTTTTTTATCTACCCATAAGGAATACACAAAGTCTCCTAGAGACAACTGTGGCAAGAGACTAGGGTAATTTCCAGTTTCTAAGTTGTAAACAGGGGCCACTTTATTTCGTAAAATTTAAGAAACATAGCTTGCATTGTTTTCTATACGCCAGTATGCAGTAACTCAGGCAGCTACTTTAGAGCATTATTATAAACAACCTATGTTGTTAGGATGTAAGGAATGCTGTTCCTTGGACCTTGTTTAAGCAGTCTCTTTCATTTTGTTAGTTTAGAATAGGCACAGGTACACCTGTGTGAACCACTGAACACATAATCGTGTTTTTGAAACTGCTTCACTTTTCCAAGAGGTCAGGAACTGCATCACTTTTTCCTTTTATTATTGATGCCAACCTTAGCTTTTTATTCCTCTGCACAACTCCAGAGCTCAGTAGTGTCAAAATGAATGTCATTTATGATCAGCATGTCTCTAGGATCAAAAGACTCCTCTGCAAAAGGCATTGAAATGTGTAATACTACAGCCACATCCCCCTTACATGCCAGCATCATATGATACAATTTTTAACATTTTCTTTGTGGTGCATGCAAGTATTACATGCCTTCTACTCAACTATTTTATAAAATCAAGAGACAGCATGACTCAGATTTTTAAGTATTTTTATTTCTTTCTAGTACATGCTTGATATTTAAGTTCCATTTGCACTTCAACCAATCGCAAAAAAATAAACCAGAAGATCTGCTATGCCAATGGACACTGTGCAGGACTTATTATCAGTGAGTTCACTTATTCTAAAATGTAGCTAAGCCTCCAAATGATTTATTTTAGATCTGGACCCTGCCTGTGGTAAATGGACATAGCAGAAAGATTAAGTAAATAGCCCCAAAAGAGTACAATTTGAAATCCAGTCTTTACAGTATGTTTCCATGGTAACAGAATGTCACAAATGAAAATAAATTCAGGTTGCAAAATTACTCAAAATGTAATTCTGAAAGCACTTTCTTTAGTTCAGCATGTTTGGAAGGCTGACCTATTCAGTTAGGTATGTTTTAAATCTCTGTTCTGCTTCTTTGTATCTCTTAGGGTAACGAAAAAGAAGTATAATGCCCCCTAAATGAGATTGAAAAGGTTAAAATATTGATGGACTGCATAAGAAAAAAAATAGTGATACAGTCTTCAAAATATACCATTTTGATAATGTTAAAAATTGAAAATTTTAAATTTAGAATTAATAATTTTGTCATCTTAATCATAAATGCTATATTTCTTTTAAATAACACAATCCTTGCAACTGGATGGAGCTGGATATTACAGAAAGCCACAAAAAATTTCTAGAACATGCCCAGCCATAGGAAGTGTTTCACTTTTTGAAATATAGCTTCTTGGATGTATTACACAGATCTGTTACTGAAAGCTTATTAAAGACAGACCTGGGAGTAATTTTAAAGATCTTGTAGGACCTGCTGATATTGCTTGGTTAATCTGGAAAATTTTATTTTATTTTTAGAGTCAATAAGCAGAAGTAAAGAAGAAACAGCATCCATTCACCCAGTATTCAATATTTCTTTCAAAAGACATCACTATATACCCACTCTCTTCTAAACAGAGCACCAGGCACTAGATATTTTCCCAATAATGATTTACATGTATTTTTTGTTTTAAATTCTCCTTTATATGTTTCTCAATAAGATGCTAAGTTAGAGCACATAGAATGTTATCCATGCATTCAATTTTTCTAAGATATAATAATATATTTTCTTTTTTGTCTTTGCAAATTGGTCCAAGACAAAACTAAATACATCACAGTGACTGAAGCAAAAACAGATGTGTATACACATAAATTCTATGTCTGATTCCATATTTGTCCTGGCTTGTTCCTTCAGTTGGTATTTACATCTTCTTTGAAGGGAATAATGTTTCAGCCACTGCGGATAATTCACCAAGTAAATAACCTAATTTGAAGTTTACTGATTCAATTGGAGAGGAATACTGGGTGGGGCCAAGGATGGCCAAAGGCAAATTATAAATTCATAGAAGATTGCACTGCATTCTGCTTTGCATTTTTCCTCCTGAACCTTAAGAATTCTTATGTCACGCTCCAGATGCCCTGGACTCCTGACTGTTCTCAAATACTGACTTGTGGCATTGACTTTCCCTGGCTTAGAACAGAATGTGAACAAAGGAAAAGCTTTTTTAAAAGGGAGATAATCAAAAAAACCAAGAACATTCTTCTGAATGAAAGATGTATTTTTTCAGCTACTCATTAATAAAAAAAAGATTCAAAGGTTTGTTTTTAATAACAGCCTTGGGAGGAGAAGCTCAATGACTTTGTTAAAGATTTCCCTTTGGCTTAAAATCTTGTAGGAAAATAAAATGAGGATGATTGTCTATAAATACAGCAGCTACAAGGCCTAATTAAGACCCTGTCTAGATTGACAAAGTAATCAAACAATAAAACAAATGGCTTTAGAGCAGTTGATTCCATTATTTTAGTTTTAAAAATTATTAAAGCCAGATTAGGAATTGAGCAGTTTGATGTTCAGTTGTTATTACTTCAGGACTGTAATTATTGACTGTTTAACTAGACTGTAAGTTGTTTGAGAGTATAGACTCTGCATTTATCTGTTATTAGCTTTGGACATAGCAAATTTCTAAGAGGGACATTAGTAAAAAGGTTAAGTAACTTTTATTAAATGTCTAGTATATGACAGGCTTCATGCTTGATAGAGGCTTTCCAATCATGATCCTCTTTATTCTTTTCGGCATCCCTGGAACAATGATCTTATTATATTGATTGTTACTGATAAGACATCCATACCTCCAACACTAGCTTAATGGCTAATACATAGTGATCATTTGATTCTTGTTGAGGAATGAGAGTGTATCTGTCAAGTTTTTTTTCTTTCAAGTATTAGAAACTAACTCTTGCTAATTTAGTCATAAAATGAGTAGATTAAAGGATATCATGTAGCACATAGAATCTTCTTCAGAACAGAGTAGAAAGCCATGTTTGAAATTCTCACAGTGAGGAACAACATCCAAAATCATGCCCAAATGTGGTCCTGTGAAGATGCACTGCCACCCTTGCTAGGCACACATAAATTCTTGTGCTTCTGATGCCAACAATGAAGGGCATTGAATCTGTGGCTGGAATTGCTACCATGGGAAATTGGATGGAGCTACTGCCACGTTGCCAAGATAGATTAGGCCTTGCTTTTTATGTCATCAGCTCTGAAGTCAGTCTCATATGATGTGTTGATTGGAGGAGTCTACAGATAGGTGTCCAGACCAGGGAACTGTTGAGAGTAAAAGTGTCATTAAGAATTATTCCAGGATAACAAGTCTAAACCAGGACATATAGTCACCCTCTGCTAATTCTGTTCCCTAGCTGCAAAGAGATCATGGAAAGCACATTTTCTGCTTCTATGATAGAATGTGGTCTTGGCTTCTCATTAGTACTCACAGTATACGGAATTACCCAAACATCAGAAGAGGTTATAAGGCTGGGTGTTCCAAAGAGAAGGACAAATGTGCACTACTGAATTAAGAATTGAATTTTAAATAACCTGTCTAAAGTAAAACAATTAATGAGGTCTGCCTAAGTCTAAAGCACTTTTCCTTTCATGATACCATGCTTTGCATAGTGTACTATGGTAATTTTCAGCTAAGGATATACATCAGAGCTGTTTACAATAGTATTGTAAACATACAGGTTGTGGGGTCCCACTCTAACCTACTGAACCCAAATCTCTGGGAATGGTGCTCTGGCCAGGATCTGTAATTCTTAACATCATTCAGAGAAAAAAAAAAAATCAATTTGAAAGGTGATCCTTGTGGAAACAAGTCCACGTGTACCTTTTGGATGCTATTAGTTTCCCAAACTGTTCCATTGTTTGAGATAGATTTGATTTAATGTGTTCCATATAATTTATGGAAGCTAGAAGGAAACCTGTTTAATGTGGTAGTAGGCAATAGAATAAAATTATAATTTTAAAAATTGGTCGCCCTTAACTTCCTTTATTATTATCATTAACTGGCATTTCCAGGAATCACTCAAGTACTTAGAAATGTCTGTGGTACTATACATATGAAGGTTGAGAAACAAAGAATTCCAGATAACATATCCTTTTCTTTCTTGCTGATAACAGTGAATGCTCAAGATAATGAAGACCATGTCCCTCTCCATTTCTGTTCTCGATTTGGACACCATGATATAGTTAAGTATCTGCTGCAAAGTGATTTGGAAGTTCAACCTCATGCTGTTAATATCTATGGAGATACCCCCTTGCACCTGTGAGTATTATGTAGCGTTCCATAGGTCCTCCAGGTATACTGCATGTACTTGCTTACAATATTAACAAGATATTTTCTTCAAATCTAGGGCATGCTACAATGGCAAATTTGAAGTTGCCAAGGAAATCATCCAAATATCAGGAACAGAAAGTCTGACTAAGGAAAACATCTTCAGTGAAACTGCTTTTCATAGGTAAAAGAATATTTAAGTGCAATAGTGACTAAACTTAGCCAACACTCTAAAGAACCTGAAGTTGTGTGCATAAAGCAAGAACAAATAGTGGCAGATGTTGCAATCAGAGAGCAATAGCAGAGGTAGGGCAGAGGACAAAGAGCCCGAGCTAGATGCAGGGAAGAAAAGGTGGAGGCAGATGCTGCAGTCAGTACAACAGATGGGGCCGAAGCCAGATGCTGCGTTCCTGGCAGCAGCCACAAAGACAGGGACTGATGTTGCCAAGGCAACAAGCGTATCAACATCTGTAAGCATATTGCTTCTATTCCTCTTCACTCCATGGAAAGCTGCCAAAAAGGGATGCTCCCATAATCCTCCTCCAACAAGAATCTCATTACCAGAATTCATCAGCATTAAATGTGACACTTTTTTCCTTTCCACTTAAACCTTACGTGAAAATGTGTCTACCTATCTAAAACATCCATCTGTCAGCCTGTAAAAGCCTAGTCAGGGTGGCCACTCAAATACCTAAGAAAGCATTAGCTCTTCTCTAGGAATTCATGAGAGCCCTTTACGGTGTGCTCTAGAAAAGCACACTGAAGGAACAGCTGGGATTAGAAAAGTTGCAACCAAAAATAAAAGGAGAGAAAAAGAAAAGAAAGAAAAGGTTGCTAATAAGTCAGAGCGATAGTTCCCTAAAATGCCCAAAAGGAAGGTGGATGTTTTATAAAATCTAAGGCCTTCATTTTTAATGAGTAACTGTTTTGCTATAACAGTAAAAGCATAGTTTGTAGTAATTAGTATTTAGTAGATCTTGAAAATTAGTTCGTTTGCCTACACATTACATATTTTTTATTAGTTTGTAACCTCTAAAAATGTATTTGAGACTAATTTGTTGTTCACATAAAGTTTTTGCATTGCATTGATGAATAATAAAAATGAGGAGACTCTCTTTTTTTCTTACCAAACTAAAATTAAGCTTGTGCTTCTGCATCAGACATCAACCTGTCAAATTTCACATACATTTCCAGATTTTTCTTGTCAGCCAAAGACTCAGTCAAAAAAACGGTGAAGTAAAACCACCGTTTATGGAATAGTGACCATATGCCAGATGATTTGCATCCATTATCTCGTCTAATCCTCACAACATTTTATGAAGTTGGATTTATTATCTCTCTTTTACAGAAGAGAAAATTGAGGATCAGAAAAGCTATGTAATTTGCCAAAGTTCCTTATGGATAGAAAATAATGTTGCAAATGCCTACCTAATTCTAAATCCTGTGCTTTTTACATTTCTTCATGTTCTAGTACCAAAATATTTTGTCTGTTTTCTACACACTCAGTAACAGAACAGATGCAAGAACTCCTTAGATCATACCTTCAGTCAAACGGTTCAGTGGAATCTGTCCCTGCAGGGGACAGTTGGCAGAACTGATATGTACTGGTTGCTGGTATTCTCTTTCCCATTAGGTCATGCCTGTTACAGCTGACACCTCAGGCTAGTTTTCAAATAATTTTGCTACTTCATGCACTAAAATTGAAACCAACTGTAATCAGAGGGTGACTGTCACCTCTAAAAGATTGTCTATATGAGAAGATTTGTGAAGTGAGTTGAAAGTATATACCCAATTGTTTTATTTTGTGTAAGCCTGTGGCTACTCAGAGTTAACAGATTAATGTTTTTGTTGTATTCATTTTAAGCAAATATTTATAAAAGAATCTCCTTTTACATGAGGAATTCACTCTGAATACGAATTTTTCTATGTACAATCATAGTATTTTGCACAGAGTAAGCACTCAGCACATTTCTCTTGTCGTTTTCATATGTATACACACACATATATATAAATATATATGTGCATATAGATGTACACATATACACATATATGTGCATGTATATATGTGCATGTATGTATGTATATATATACACTCATATATATACATATATATGTGCATATATTCAGAACTCATTTTCTGTAAGTAGTTTCTTTGAAAAAGAGCAATGAATCAATATTAAATGTGTACTGTTATGGGTCGTATTTATAATGCAAATAGTTAATGACATGATATATTGCACTGAGATGGTAGTTTTTTTATTCACTCAATAATTCAAGAAAGAGTTATTAAACACCTACCTTGTATTGCTGCTACTAGGGACATTAAGATGACAGGATTCTTTCCATCCTTAAAATAGCCCTATTGTAAGGTATCAAGGTAAACAGAGGTGTATCCAGTACCATATCACAGTGTGATAAGCACTGTAAGATTGAAATTACAAAGAAGCAGAGGGGTCAGCAATGAATTCTGCCTTTGGTTCATTAGGATACTTCATATTCAGTTTAATCAGATGAAGAATGAATGGTATTTCATGAAAGAAAAATGACTTAGGCAATGCCATCCCCGGAGGAGGAAATGCTAAGACCCAGTGAACTCCCTCTTTTTTCTAGAACCAAGTCCCTATGCCCTTCCTTTGGCCATTATTTAGTTGAGGCTTTGCCCAATGCTAGTTCCTTCCAGTCACTTATTACATACCTCATCTCTCTTCATGATTTGAATATACAGTACTGTTAGTTAACAAGTGATAGCAAAAGCAGAGGTATGAGGGAAACTACAGGAAAAGAACATTTATGAGAGAATTACTAATCAAAAAGTTAAATCCAGTAGTCATTACTAGGCATGTTAATTTCATACAAAATCTTTTTCTCAATGCATCTTAGCTTTCCCAGTAAACAGTAGAAATCAGAATTTCAGCTAAGTATTTCAACAAATCTATTTGCAAAATTTATCTTAAAAAATCTTATTTCCTTGCATCTTGAAATTTGTTACTTTTTCCACAAATACTTTCTCACAACTGGAAAAAGCTGATAATGAAATGTCCTCTACAATTTGTAATGTGATTCTATAAGCATTAATTCACTTGAAATTTCAGCATCAATTTGGCAACTTGAGAAAGTATTGTCTATCATTGTTTTATAGATGGTAAAACTAAAACTCACAGAGGTCAAAGAACTTGTCCAGGACCTCTGGTTTGTGTGTGGCAGAATTCTGGATTTTGAGTCCACAACTAATGCTCCATCAGTAAAATGAAAGCTTTGAGATCTTACTCTCTGGTCAAGGAAGTGTTTGAAGAGACAGTAGATGGTTTTACCGGGAATAATTTCAGATTGTGGCCTGGATTTGACTGAAACTCTCAGAACCCTCCTGAATTTCTAATTTGATTGTCCTGCAGAATAATTCCTAGATCCTGCAGCTAAAAATGCACGGATCTCTTATATCTTATGTCCTTTTATGAAAAATAACTAATATCCCTGAAAACATTTGATTAAAAAACACTGGAAATTTTATACAGCTCTTTTCTGAAAGATCCAGATGTGAGAATCTTTAGAATTTTTCTCACCGTATATCCACGTTTTTATTTAGCCTTTGTAGATGGTGCTTGTTTATTTTTCATCATCTCCTCCCTTCTCTGTTTCTTTGGCTCTCTTATATACATGTGTGCGTCTAGAATGCCTGACTTAATCAGGGCTACATTTTTTTGTTAGGACTGCCATAAAGAAATACCACAGACTGGGTGGCTTAAGCAACAGAAATTTATCATCTCACAGTTCTGGAGGATAGAAGTCCAAGATCAAGATGTCAACAGGTTTGGCTTCTCCTGAGGCCTCTTCCCTTGGCTTGCAGATGGCTGCCTTCTTGCTGTGTCTTCACATGGCTGCCTCTCTGTCTATGTCACCTGTGTCTTCATTCCAGATTCTTCTTACAAGGATGTCAGTCATATTGAATTGGGGCCCACCCTAATGACCCCATTTTAAGTTAAGTACCTCTTTAAAGACACAATCCCTAAATACAGTCTCATTGTCAGGTCATGAGGGTTATACCTTCAACATATGATTTTTTGAGGTGTAGGGGAGAGGGCACAATTTAGTCCATAACAAGGGCCTTCTATCTTTCTTGTTTTATGTTTCTTCAGTGCTTGTACCTATGGCAAGAGAATTGACCTAGTCAAATTTCTTCTTGATCAGAACGTCATAAACATCAACCACCAAGGAAGGGATGGGCACACTGGTAAGACTGTGATGAAAACATCACTAGTTCTAGATGCTTGTCAATGATTAAGAATAACGGTATGCAAAGGGATGTGGGGGCATTGGGAGTGCTCAACTCCAGTGGGAAAGGATATTTTATCAACTGGCATCATTTATAATTGATAATGACTGATAATAATGAAAAGCAGACTGACTTGGTCAATTTTATTATTGTGTTAAATTATTTGCAGTCAATGCATCCTCTTATGACCTGCACTAGGGACAGACTGATCACACTGCTCTGCCCTTGATTTGGTGATCAAAAAAAAAAAAGCTGTGTCAGGTCTTTGTTCTTTTACTTGTGGAAAGATGCTAACACTTGTTCTTGGTAATTACGGTGGATGTAGAAATACTATAATTGTACTGAGGAAAAGACAGTCTCTATAGAAGACTGAGTACAATAGAATACCCGTTTTGCTTAAAGTAATGTCTCTTTTGGTCAACAATAAAATGAGTTCTTTATCAAAGAAATCAATCCTTACTTCATACCTTTGGAAATAATGCTATTATGTGGTGATAACTGTCTTTTGAAAATTTGGGGTGCAGTTTTTCTTTTTTCTCCTTTTGTTCTTTCAATTCTTTTCTGTTACAGGATTACACTCTGCTTGCTACCACGGTCACATTCGCCTGGTTCAGTTCTTACTGGATAATGGAGCTGATATGAATCTAGTGGCTTGTGATCCCAGCAGGTCTAGTGGTGAAAAAGATGAGCAGACATGTTTGATGTGGGCTTATGAAAAAGGTATATTTTTAATCATCGTGTCTCTATAGTGATACATTGAACTGTGTGCATAGATTATGTCAGTGCATCAATAATTACTTTGCTTGCATGACTTGAACACTCTCATTTCTTCTGTAGATTTTACTTGAGTTTCTGGGGCCTTGGATCAAAGAGTCCAATACACTGTAATCAGAGAAGGCAACTCCTAGGCTGCAGATGAGCCAAAGGCATTCTCAGTATTGGCACTTTGAAAGGGAATAGTCACATTTCTAAGTACCAGAGAAACAAAATTGTGATGGCTAATGATAGTAGAGTGGGCTCAGAGCTAATCTTTATTTCTTATATGGGGGAATTTTGATGTGGTTTCAAATTTATAAGAAAGAAGTGAGTACAATGGGGGAAAAAAGAAATATTTGTCAGATCTAACCCTGCTGACAATGCCTGTGCTAGAAAAATGTGACGGAGCCAAGTGTAAACTTATTTGAATATAAACTTATTTGCTTAAGTAGAAACTTATCTGAGCTCAAAGTGGTGAAAACTTGAGATCTGGTATGAGAACAACTGGATTTAAATCAAGCCATATTATTTGACCTTGTGCAAATTATTTAATATTTCTGAGCTCCATTTTCTTCATCTGAAAAATAAGGATTGTAACTTCTACTTCATAAGATTGTAAGGATTAAATGAGATAATATATGCAAATTGCTTAGAACAGTGGCTGACACAAAATAAATACTGATTGCTATTTTAGTGTGACAGTAGTGTAGTAGTAGTAACTCCGAAATAAAGATGATTGATAACAAATTCATCATTTCAAAGGAGAAGTAACCAAAGACATTCAGATGGTGAAAAGCATCTTTGTAATTGTTATTGAGATATATTTGCCTCATAAGCGAGTTCTCCATATACACATACACTCCTAAGGAGTTTAGATTTTTATGAAAGAATACATAGTCTTTTATGAAAGAGTATATATTGTCTTTGAAATTACAGGTTATAATTGAATACTTTTAAAAATATACCAGATTTTAAAGTCACATTTTAGTTGTTATTTTAACTTTTGATGACTGCATTGTCTTTTTACGATATTAAAAATATGTAAAGAAACATAGTTATCTTTTTAAATACTAGAATCCTAAAAGATTGTAATGAAAATAGCAATTATTAAGCTATAAGATTTCCTAGCCTACCAAGTTGATTTAAAAGGTTTTCTGACTAAAGTGGGATATGGGCCAGGCACGGTGGCTCACGCCTGTAATCCCAGCACTTTGGGAGGCCAAGGTGGGCAGATCACGAGGTCAGGAGTTCGAGACCAGCCTGGCCAACATGGTGAAACCCCATCTCTACTAAAAATACAAAACTTAGTTGGGTGCAATGGTGGATGCTTGCAATTTCAGCTACTCTGGAGGCTGAGGCAGGAGAATCATTTGAACGCTGGAGGCAGAAGTTGCAGTGAGCTGAGATCACGCCATTGCACTTCAGCCTGGCAAGAGGGCGAGATTCCGTCTCAAAAATAAATAAATAAATAAATAAATAAATAAATAAATAAATAAAGTGAGACATGAAAGTCCATCAATGAAATAAGAAATATAGTCTGATGAATGAAAATGAGGGGCTGTTGTAAGCATGCAGTAAGTGTATAGACAAGGAGAAGGAAAAATGTACAGGTCTGAAGACTGCTAGTAGAAAAACAATATGGGAGTTACTTTAATAAGGAAAAGTGAGCAGACATAGAATATTAAGTAATGAGTTAGATATAGGCCTGCTGTGTTTTGGTGGGCTTAGTTTGCTTTTTATTTGAATATTGTATAAATACAAACACATACACCTTTGCACGTATTATAACTGTATAGCTCAATGAATTTCACAGATTGAACTCACCCAGCACCCAAATGAAGAAACTGAACATAACAAATCCCCTAACAGCCCCATTGACATTCTCTTCCAATCACTCCCCTAAGGAAGTTACCGTGCCTTCTTGTGGCATAGTTGTTTTGCCACTTTCTGCACTTTATATAAATGAAATGCTATGGTATGTACTTCTTTGTGTGTGGCTTTTCTCAGCCAACAATATGTGGGATTCATTCACATTGTTGTAGGCAGTTATAGATTGTTCATTCTTATGTTGTATAGTATAATGTTTTGTGACTATATCACAACTTTTTAAATTCATTCTACTGTTCATGAGCATTTGGATAATTTTCAATTTGGTGCTATTAAGAGTATTGTGTTATGAACATTCATATACCTAGATATATGTCTTTCATTGAACATATGGTTGCATTTCTATTAGATATAAAGGTGTTGTACTTTGTATTAAAAAATATAGGTAGCTCCATATCTAAATATCAATTGGAAAATTTTAAATGTTCTGAAATCTCAGGAGGCCTTACTAAATTCTATCTCCTCAACACACTGCATTTATTCAAGTGATTCTTAGACAGTGTCTCTCAAGAAATGTGAGCTTCAGTGTAAGACTGTTTACAAAGCATTAGTCTTCCGGAAGGCAGCTCAGATATTGCTGCTGCAGCTATCTCTTCACAGGGGTTGGCTTTGTTTGTTTTTAGTTGATTGAGAGTGATAGTCGAAAACTGGCTTTACTTTTATTTTTCGTGGAATTCCACACTTTTATGAAACAATGAATCATTGTGTAAGCTTCTAAGATTTCCTATGAAATGTCAACAAAGATCCTTTAGCTTAGAGGACTTGCCCACTGGCCTCTGCAACATATGCTGTATTTGTCACCGTATTTGTTCAAACTAATGTGCCAGGCATCAGTGTTGCGTTCCATTATTACTATGAATTTTAACAAATTGAATGTTCTTGCTCAGAAGACAGATGGATGTTTTGCATATGTTCTAGGGCAAAGCAAGTCAAATGACAAAATGAAATTGTTGCTATTTTTCTCTTCCTAAAAAAATGTTGCATTGTTTTCATGTGTTCAGGGAGAATTGAAGTGGCCTTGTTAATATTGTCAGCAGTGCACCTGTCCCTGTATCCTTTGAAACAAAAAATGCTTCCCTGTCTCCTTGGAGAGGGAATTACTATATTAATTGATATGGCATACTAAGGAGTTCCCTGAGCAATTTCAAGGTAAAGTTGAGGAAGGACTAAAACTTTAGTTGATGTAAGAATAGCCCCATTGTGGTTTACCATGTACCCTATCCTATCCCGGGAGAGATAAACAAGAAGGGAGCTTCACAATCAAGGGTATCTATTTGAATAGGTGTACTTTTGGATACATTCAATTTAAATAGTCCATCCTAGTCTAATCTCTTAACAGAAAACTGTGGAGTCTTTCTCAGCAGCACCCGTCTCTGTCTGAATGGCTTTAAGCCAAAGTTTTCACCTGACTCAAGCTAAATTTTAGCTGACCTTCTTTCTACTATTCGGATATGGCACATTGAAGTGTGATTTGGAGTTCTGGAAGAGTTATATATACTCTTTTGGAATATTTTCAGAAAAGGGTTTACTCACTATGGTTCCCTGTGGAATCAGATATAAAGAATGCTTTCTATTTGCATAGCTCTTCTAACCTAAATATATCAAAATCAATCTTGAAAATAATTTTCCTGGTGACCTTCATCCTACACAGAAGCCTGCTGTTTAAGTTTCAATATTTATCTGCCAGACTGCTTAGAGCTCCAATTTTACAGTATTTAGAGTGTTTCCCCTCCCCATCTCCCCCCTTCTTCGTTTCTACTATTCCATCTGAAAGTGTAGCGATCGCTGTCTCACTCACTTGGATTTGTTCTGCCCTTTCCCTGTGGTACAAAGGATCTGTATGAATCAATTTAAATTGGTCAGAAGAAATAGCCAGCAGCCTGCTTATGTTCAAATCCTCTGCCCTAATCACTAGTATGGAAAACCCATTGAAAAGACCTACACATAATCTTACATCCATTGCATTAAAGATGAAACTGCCAAATTGAAAAGATCTCAGCCAATTAGAATTGAACACATAGCTCAATAGTGTGTTTGGCAGTTAGATTTGAAAAGGCTGCCTTTGACAAAGAAAAGCACTCCTTTATATCAGGCTGTTTAGGGTCAGAAAATAACCCAAACTGAAACAGAACTAAAAACTTCTTATTCACTTCAGTACTGACACCAGTTAAAGTAATACACAGAGGCTCCTATCACAGTATCTAATTACCCAGAATACAATATTTGTATACGGCAAAGGTGCCTAATTCACAGTGACAAGAAGCTGGAGGTGGAGAATTAGTGAATAAGTGAGCAAAAACAATAAAAATCAAGGCTCCTCTACCATGATATATACTTTGTTCATTCCTTTTGACAAGTGTAGTATTGTGTGAATTATTTGTAGTAAACATACTATAGTGTATTCTCTTAAAGTAATGAAATCTTACAGTAATGAGTTTCTACAGTTTTTAGACAGTAAAAAAATAACTGAGAGATGAGGGTGGGAGAGGAGTACAAGTAAGAAGAGAGAGATACATTACATTATTTGATAAATTTTCACCAATGGATTATGAACTCCCAGGCTTTTTCTGTATTGAATTCCTGTCTATTTCAAGTTTAGTTACTTAGTTTAGTGATACTAGTTCAGTGTGCAAGAGTGGATTGGGGTAAGGAATCTATGTGTGAATTTTTGTTTTTGTATACTGGTTATTTTCTTACATGTTTAGCTGCTCTCTTTTAAAAAATAAGTAAAATAATCTCAACTGTCATTAGAATGGAAAGAACCTTCATCATTGCAGGGAGATAACTCACAAAAATGTTTTTTGAAATATAATAATGTAAGAATTCACATACTTAAAATGGATAGTAAAAGAGAACTTACGTTCATTGAGTATCTGTTACATATGCATGTATATGTATATATAATTTAATCAAAGTAACCCTTTAAATTGTTATTATCTTTGTTTTACAGATAAAGAAATTAAGACCTAGGGCTGTTGAGTCACACTTGCCCAACCCATGCAGTTGTTGAGTACAGCGTCAATACCAAATAGGGGGTCTGTCTTATTGTAGAATTCAAGCTCTTACCAACACACTGT